AATTGATTTAGATTAGTGGTTGATCTGGTTTATGTCTTATAATAGTTTGAGACAGATTTTTTAGAATTTTCCTCTTTCACAGTTTTAGCTATATTAACAATATTTGGCAGAGTTTCATCAGAGTTTATTTTTATCCATTTACAAATTTTAAGTTTTAAGTCTTTTTTATATGTTTAGGTTTTGTAGTCTTCTGGATAGATATTGATTGGATCAACTTTCTTTAGAAGATCATTAAATCAGTTGGTGTATTTGTTAATACTTCCATTTTGTTAAAGTATTTTAAGTTCATTTTGTCATTGTTCAATCTTATGAGGAATATGGAATTTCAAGACAAAACAGTATTTAAAGTTGTATTTATTATTTTCAAGATTTGTTTAATCAGTTAGAGTGAGAGTATTATTAGTAGCTCTTTGATTAAATCAGGTAGCAGCTGCATCTTTCAAATATCCATGAATAATTTGAATCTTTTATATATCAGTAACTTCATTAGCTGTAGTAGCAACTTCAAAATCTTTGAGTTATTCGACAGGATCTTGATTATCATCCTTGAATTTGCGTATTGGAATATGATTCTTCTCAGCTCTTAGTTCAACATTGAGAGCAGAAGTAAAAGCATTTAATTCATGGAGAATATTATTTAGGTCAACAGCCATTTCTTCATTTTCAAATTCTTTAGTTGCTTCTTCTAGTTCAGAGTTTAATTCTTCTTCTAATGATTGTTCTTGATCAAAAATATTCAATTCTTCTTCAATATCAGTTTGTATAATTAATTGTTCTTGAAAGTTGATGTCTTGTTGTTTTTCTGCTGGTTCTTTTTTTACTTCTTTGATAATTATTTGTTGGTCTTCTATTATTTTGATATTGCTGGCAATTTCAGAATAATAACTATTAGATATATTGGAATCTTTTTTGAATTCTAGATTGTGAAAGTCTTCAAGTATTTTTTTAACTAATAATAGTTAGTGATTAAGTGTGTGTTTGTTCTGGTAAATTATAGTATTTAATAATCAGATTACTCATCTTTGCAATTTTTTAGTTCCAATACTAACAAGATTTGCTTTATATATATCTTCAAATAGTTATTCAGTAATAAAGGACCCAGATATTGCACCTTATTCTTGGATCCAAATGAGAAAGTTTACTAGAGATTCAATTATTATATTAGAAGATGAAAAATAGATATAACAGTAATATTGTTAAGTTATTCAAAATGTATCTTGATGTTGAATTTCAAGATGAGTGTTGAAATATGAACTAATAGATTCTTCAATAAAGTTATAATAATCATTCATTTAAATAAAAAAAAGTGAATTTTTAAAATAATATTCCATAAAGAGAGTATCAAAATATTACATATTTTTTACTAATTGAGTAAATGTCAACAAGAGTTAGGAGAAATAATTAAACAAATATAAGAAGATTATAAAAATAATATGTTAATTTTTACTGAAATTATTATAGTTCAAAAGAGAAAAAGAATAAAATAATAGAATTTTAATTAAGTATAGTATTCTAATTAATTATATTAATTAATTAATTTACGAATTATTTAATTGAAGCAACTATCAAATTAACTAATTAATTAAAATATCAAAATAACAAATATAACAAAGTTTTTTTTACTTTATTCTTCTTACAAGAAAGAAATTATGATGTCTTTAGTTAAGAAATTTCAAATAATTTAATTATGACAAAAATATTAAAAGACTAATCTATAACAAAATATCAATTCAATAACTTAATATTAATATTTTAATCAGTTTAATACAGTCTCAAAGCTACTTGTTTGCAAGATTTAAAATATATAATTAAGAAAGAAAGGCAAATTGTTTAAGTATTAAAAGATATTTATTTTATTATATTATTTATTCTCAAGTTCTAACATGTTGAGTTAGAATTCAACTATAACTTATTTTATATATTTTTTACAAAATATTAAAAATAAGAAAATAATATAAAAGATAATTATACTAACTAAAAATAGAATTTCAATTTACTAAATATAAAAAGTAGAAAAATAAAGGAGAAAAAGTATAAATTTCAAAGAATTTTGATTAAATTATATTTACTTGATATAAATAAGTATAAAAGTATAAAAACTATAAAAACTATAAGAATATAAAATAAAAAAAGTATAAAATATATAAATAAAATGTATAAAATATATAAAAAGTATAATATATAAAATATAAAAAGTATAAGAGTGCAAAGTAGAAAAATAAAAGTATATAAATATAATAATTAATAATATATAATAAAATTGTAAAGTGTTTTAAGTTCTTTATATGATTTTTATAATTTTGTAAAATATTACAAATTATGAAATTAACAATTTTTAAAACATAATTGTAATAATATATATTATTAAATTCTCTTTAAATATATAATATAACTTGATTCCAAATTATAAAATACATTTATAAATACATACTTTTTCTAAGTATATATTTTATCTATTTTTTATTATAATTTTAAATTTTACTATATTCAATACTATATCTATAAAATTATATTTTTAAAGAGAGATTTGAATTTTATATTATTTCAATTCTATTTGTATAAAACATATATTATTTATTTTATTATTAGAAAATCTAAATTAAAACTTGAAGAATTAGAAATATAAAACAAAAAAATAGAAGATGTGGCTAAAACACTTATCTGAATTTCTTGTAAAGTCTTTTTTCAATTTAAAATATAAGTTGCACACTTATCTTGAATTTTGATAATTTTTTCCGTCAGAAAACTTGGAGATTGGCATGTGAGTGCTCTTGCTTTACAAGTGAGACTTGGTTAATGTATTTACTTTAGGTAGAATATTTATATTAGTTTTCAGTGAAGCCTTAGTTTCTGCTAAATCATGTATATGAAGAATTCTTCACACTGACCAATTTTTATTATGTTTTGAATTTGTGTATCTGTTAACTAGAAATAGAATCATTACTATATTTAACTAGTCTGATTTTATCTATTCCTATTTCTTTGAACAAAGAAATATTTTTAGCTTTTGAGTCAAATATTCTCTCATAATATCAGGAAGATACAGTTCCATGAATCTGTGTTCTTACTATTTGATCACTAATATTATTCTTCCAACTAATAGTTTTAGTCTTTTTTTTTGAATTCCTCACTATAATAATACCAACGTAATTTTTCTTTCTGACTAGTTTTTCAGCCTAGTTAATAAATAAGATACGAAAATTGGAGTTAAATTATTCTCAGAGATTTGTTTACCAGTCACAGAATTTCAGAGTCTTCTCATCTGGCAATGATGTAGGACTATGATCTCTAATAAACCTTGTTTTACTTTCTGATTATAGGGAACTAAAGCTCTGTTCGGTCGGATCGAATTTGAGGTCAACCCGAACCGATAATTTCGGGTCGGGTTTGATCCGAAAATCGTAAAATAGTTTTTCGTTAATAACTTTTATTTTTACTAAGACACTTGTATTTGTGTCTAAGTAGTATATGCCCATAAATTTTCGTTTAATTCCAATTAATATTGAACGACAAATAACGATTTTTAGGTTGACCCGACCCGAACTGTGCGTTCCGGGTCGGGTCACGGATTGGACCCGACGCGGTTGGAGCACTATGGAGAACTTTTTGACTAATAGACAAAATAAAAAGCTTGTTTCTGAAATATTCAGTTTTTCGTTATGATTAACGATAATTGTTCTGCCTCAAATGCGGAAACATCCTTTGGAGAAAGTGCACTCTCACTTTGCGAGACAGAATCTGAGATTTTGATTGGTTATTTTCCTTCTTATGAGAAATAATAGAGGAAGTATTCTAAGAAATAGAGAGGGTATCTTGAGTTCAAAGCTTTTCTTCCTGCTTTCTCTGTCTTATCTCATTACTGACTTTTTCCTTATTTTAAATCCAGAAAGTCATCGATATCCTTATCTTCTTTTGATTTAGGTTTGATGGATGGGCATTGGCGTAGCCAGCAAGACTGAAGAATTATCGGATGCCAATTCGTGCATGGTATTATTTGTGTCTGCTGTTCCAATTTCGTGACCATGTCTCGAAGCTCAGCATTCTCAACAATAAGATTAGCAGTATTTGTTTTATTTTTCTTTCTAACTCCTCGAATCTGGTCTTGAGCTCAACATTTCTTCTATAGCTTGTTTCAATTTTATATTCTCAGCCTTAACCTCTTTTTAAGTTCAGCAATCTGAGCTACGAGCTTGGAATTCAATTCTCTTAATGAATCAATTGTAGATTGAGTGCTCGACGTTGTTTTATATAGAAAGCATATTTATTCATTCAGATATGAATTTCTTGACAGCAAAATCACGTGCGCGTCACACCGATCACTTTTGTCAAAAATTCTTGATTATATCCGAATGCCGACAACGGATTTACATAACGAAGCGTGGTTAAACAAGACAAGTGAGATCGTTTCAGAGAAAATCAGATGACGTGACAAATCTATTTAATAATTTCTATTAATCTGGATTTTCCACAGTTTTGACTTAATGTATAACAACATGAAACAAATTTGCAATGCTCTATATCTTTCTCATTCTAAACCACATGGAATTATTAACAGATAACGCAAGGTAACGATTTATGATAAAGCAGGTCTAGATTTCGAACAGCAAATTACAGTTAAAAAGGCTAGTTAGTTTCTGTATTAGATAAAGCAACAATAAATGCAATAATTACGGCAGAAAGATGTTTACCATCAGAGGATGTTTTGCATATTCAACACAAATCCAGGAAGAATTTGTGAAGTAACCTGGATGGCTGAGGTACAATTAAGAATCTCTTAATGAATGATACGACTAGCGTTGGCATCAATGGTATAGATTCTTATTGTATTTGTGTAGGGATCAATTGATATCCCTTCCTAGATAAATGATATTCAATTAACAGAGAAATAAACAAGAGCAAAATAGCCATCATCATTAGTCTACTTCCCTCAGCTCCCCCCGTCATCCACTGAACCATTTTCTTATCCACATCTCGAGCTGAGTTGCTCTGTGAACGTAGCTCTATGATAAAGTTTGGTGTAACTTGCGGAAAATTTTGTTCTCAGGTTGTCTGGGTGATCTGTTAGCTTGGAAGGCGTTCCATCTACAATAAAAAGTAGAAATTAAAAAAGATGATGCAAAACATGCAAACTTTCTATATTTGATCTCGTTCAAACCTAGGCCTAAGCACAACAGACGCATCGGGGCCTAAAATATCAAAGCCACCCATAACATTGGGCACTTTAAAGCTCCCCTACAATCAATAAAATAATTAAAAAAGAAATAACGCTAGTAAACATGAAAAGGAAACACCAACATAATACTTGCATTAGAACCACCAAATTGTCCAACTAAAGGTACGTTTGCATGACACCAGATGCCTAGTTGATAAATGATCTCTGCTTCTCTTGTATATAAACATTTTATCTATGGTTTTAACAATCGTTTCAATTGTCAAATAGTGGCTTAGCAAGTTACATACTCGTTTCCTCGAGAACAGGCATTATTTCAAGTTGGCCTTCAATAAGGTTCATTCGAAGATGAGGGTTTGCGTGAGCGATTTTTCAAACAGCTGTTCACTACAGTTAGGAACAATAAGTTTGCCGTGTGCGAGTCTTTCCAACAGCTGTTCACTCGAGAGAACAATAATCTCCCTGTCTGCGATTCTTCCAGACACTTGTTGTGTGCAGTCGGGAACAATAAATGGTGAAGACATTTTTCAAAATGAGAAAATGTGAATACCGATAATATTTGTTTATGTGTGATGATTTTTCTCAATATAAAGTTTTTTTCACATCAATCAACTGACTCTCTCTCTCCGTCCGTCAAATAACTTCGCTTTGACATGGGTTCGCTTTATCAAGCTTTGATTTAACTCGATGCCATAAAAAAAACAAATTGCCCTTAATAAATATTTAAATACCGTATTCGTATTACAACAAGACCAAGCCGTAAACCAATTGTTAAGATAATTTCGCTGCCAACTTGGGAAGGGGAATAGAAATGGCGAATGTCAAGTGACCTGTTTATATATCATCTCAAAACTAAAATCTTGCGATAAAATTCACGTGGCTTCAGATTTGTTTTCAAACATGGTGTGCAATAAAAAATTGATTTATTTTCGAAAGAACAGATTCGAACTAGGCATTACACACCCTAAGCAAAATATGAAAATCTTGCAAAGGGGATCTTCAATATATATATATATATATTCTATTGATACACGATTGCGACTAAAGATGCTCTGGCTACGTGGCCAGTCTATATAGAATATTTCGTTTTCGGCCAAATGCTGGCGTGGCCACTTGTAGCTCTCCCCGCCATCAGGAAAAAAGAATGCTTTGCACTCCGTGAAGCGTGAGTTGTAGATTCGTTTCTAAGCGCCTGCGAAAATCAAAAGGAGTTTTTTGACTGATTGTTCTGTATATGAGTGTAATTTTTTTTAGTGTTTCCAGAATTGTATCTGGTCACGATGTAGAGAAATAGTGTTTGGGTGAACATTATGACGACGAGTGGTAAAAAATCCGAAGTGATCGAGAGCATTTTGAATGTAAGATTTGTGTAATTTTGTGTTAAAATTTGTACGCGTTTTCGCGATTTTGTATTATGCTTGATTTTTGTAGAGCGAAGTGAATTAGCAATTTCTGCTATTTGTGCGAGGTATGGTCGCATGTGAAATATTTGTTAGATTTGCACGATTGAGTCTTTGACTCCAAACTCTGCTCTTTCGCGTTATTGAGATAATAAGATTCGTGAACGAATTCGTGTGATATTAGGACGTCAAATTGCGAGCGAATTATACAAGAACGAATCTGCGAATATGGCCCGAGACATAACGTGTTTTTATAGGTACTATTGTCACTGAATTGATCTCATGGTTCGCGTGATAGAGGTGGATGATCTCCCTTCCCGAATGATTAATTTCGCAAAACAGAAACGAATTAGCTTAGTCGCTCGTGCATCTTACCGTTACGAGCATGACTATTTTTTTAGCACGCGGTATATGATCGACACATCAGTAATGGTCACCTCAAAAATATCATTAATCAATTAAAAATATTTATACTAAAAATTATATTGATATTACACTTACCTACTATAAATCACTGTGCATATAAAAATTTTGATAATAAAATATAGTAAAAGTTGAAATTTTCATTTTACAAAGAAGTTTTTATTTTAATTAATAAATATTTTTTGTTTTTATATCAAAATAAAGCTAAGAATCTATATTTTGATATAAAAACAAACAATATTTATTAATTAAAATAAAAACTTCTTTGTAAAATGAAAATTTCAACTTTTATTATCAAATGTTTATATACACAGTGATTTATAGTAAGTATCAAAATATATAAATATCATTTGCATAAATATTAATATAAATTTTATTTTTTGCAGTTTTTATTTTTTTTTGTTTAAATAAAAATAAAATATTACAATAAATATAATAATTATATTATTATATTATTATTATTTAAAATATAATATTTTTAATTTTTAATAAAGAAAAATTAACAAGAATTAATAATAATATTATTTTTATTTATTTAATAGAATAAAAATAAAGTAGTAAAACACATAATATAAACTTTAAATAATATAAAAAAATACTATCAATAATTCACTATATGATATTTTTTTAAATTTAACTAGTTTTAATATAAATTGCAAAAACAAATTAATAATTAGATATATATATATATATATATTTATAATAAATATGATCCAGTATATTAATATCTGTATTTCGATTTAAAAGATTTTTATTTGCATAATACTAAAATCACATACAATGATTCAAATAAATTTATTTTCACATGATAAAAAGGTTATATATAAACATATTTTTTTTTGCAAAATTCATTGATTTCTCATGTCTAGTTCTTGTATAAATTGAACTTCTGCACCACTAACAATGAACAAAAAATACACTACCTGGACAAAAGTCTTGCACACCGAAAAATTTTAATTGTACAAAATTACACATAATAATTATATTTC